AAGAAGAAGAAGAAGAAGAAGAAGAAGAAGAAGAAGAAGAAGAAGAAGAAGAAGAAGAAGAAGAAGAAGAAGAAGAAGAAGAAGAAGAAGAAGAATGTTTAAAGGTAAAAGACAGAGAAAACTGGCTAGGATTTAATTGCTTGTTTTTATGGGGTGCCAGGGATCTGAGAGCACAGAAGCCCTGTCACCGAGCCACACCTCCAGCCTGCTCCTCTTGGGGCCAATGTTTGTATTTCTACCCAAGGATCAAACTGTCCAGTGTGCAGGCCTCATCCGAGACATCAAACACACGTACATGCACCAGACCTCTTACAGGAGAACACTGAGAGCTGAACCCGAAGGGCCCACCAGCGCACCGGCAGGAGAGCGGGTAGCTTACAATGAGCCCGCACGTGGAACACCACACTGCAGGAGCAGAGGCAGCCACAGATGTCCTCCACAGGAGGGGGAGACGTCCCAGACACGCCACGGCACAGAGAGAGCCAGCCGGAAGCCAGCGCTCGTGGGGAGCCCTTCAGTGACTGAGAGCAGGTACAGACACGGAGGGCACCTGAGCTGGGGACAGTGTGAGTCACAGAACACAGCCCACCAGGAGGGCGCTGGGCACCTGGAGGACAAGGCCGGGAGCTCACTGGACTCTACACCCCAGACCGTGCACCTCCCACTTGGCACTTCCCCTAGAAAGTCAAAAGGCCAACCCTGCTCTCGTGGACACGGTGGACAATGGGCAGGCTAGGGCAGTCAGGAACACTTTGTTTTCTTTTTGTCTTTTAAAAGTCTTGCATATGAGAAGATCCCACTAAACATGAATAGCCTTTCTCTCTGGGAATGAGATTTCAAGAGATTTCATCTCACGTCTTTCCCTCACTTCTCACCTTTCCCCAGTAGCCTTGGTTTCTGTTTTGTTTTTGGTACTGGGGACTAAATGCAGGGTGCTCTAACACTGAGCTACACCCCAGCCCTTTTGAGACAAGGTCTCACTACGTTGCTCAGGCTGGCCTTGGGCTTGTGATTCTCCTGCCCCAGCCTCCTTAGTAGCTTGGGCCACAAGCATTCGCCCCCATGTCATTGGAATTAATAGTAGAATGGTGAATGCTTAGACCATCATTTGACAAAGAGCAAATGTGACATGGGGTGATGCTCAGTGCTGAGAATAGCATCCGGAAGGCCAAGGCCCCAAGACTGTCTGCCCTGCTGTCCTCAGGAGCCTGGGTCCACCCAAGGTGCCGAGGGCAGCAGGGCTGTCTGCTCTTCTGGCCAGGCTGTGCACTGTTCTTGCTCATGATGTCACTTCCTGTCACACTCATGCTCATGACATCATTTCCTGTTGCCTTGTTCTTGCTCATAACGTCATTTCCTGTTGCCTTGTTCTTGCTCATAATGTCCTGCTATCCTGCTTCCCCCCACACTCATGGAGTTACTTGCTGCTGCCCTGTTTCCCGTTCACAACATCACTTCCTGCCACCCTGTCCTGTTCATGACATCACTTCCTGCCACCCTGTCCTGTTCATGACGTCACTTCCTGCCTCTGGCCCTGGATCTGGATTTCCCAAGACCTCAAGCAGGACAGGATCTGGGCCACCTCACCTGCACGCTGGAGGAAGCTGTTCCAGTCAAAGGCTGCATTTGGTGTTGTTGCGATTCCTGGTCAGAGGAAAGAAAGAAAAGTCACTTTTTGGAGCTGCTGGTATGCAGCCATTATAGTGGCAGAAGTTCCAGTTCTCTGCACTTGTGGGAGTCCCTAACCCCAGCCAGGGGCTTTAAAGTGAGCCCAGATTCTAAGAGCATCAACCCCTTCCCATTCCTCCAGGACGGTGCCACACTGCTCGGAGCCACACCGACCTTAGGTCCCTTCCAAAGACATTTTTTCTTTTGAGACAGAGTCTGGCTGTGTAGTCCAGGCTGGCCTCAAATTCATAGCAACCATCCTGCCTCAGTCTCCCGAGGGCTGAGGTTACAGGTATGTGCCACTACCAGCAGCTAAAAGTGCACTATTTTTTTATGTATTTAGCGCAGGGTCTACAGGGACACATAGTGACCCTCCGGTGTTCAGCCACCCAAGCGCTGGGATTACAGGTGTGCACCACCACGCCCAGTCTCAACTGCCTTCTCAGAGTGCCCCCGGGGTGGAGCCAGCGAGGCATGCTGAGGATTGAACCCTGGTCCCTGCGTCTGCTGAGGCAGGTGCTTTATTCCGCTGAGCTATCTGGCCGGCCCTTAAAAGGGCACTTTTAAGAAGGTTTCTAAAACATCAGCAACTGAACTCTCACAGCCCTGGGTAAAGATTATCAAAACTCCTGACCTCTGCCATCACCAAATCACGCCCAGGTGGATTTGTTTGCTATGTCTATGTTGTTCTTGGAAAATGAAGATTTTCAAACCTAGACAATTCACAGGCAACACCCGACAGACTGTCTTGAGAAGCTGAGAAGTTTGGTCATCTCGCCACCTGGGGAGCACACACAGCATCTGCCCCGGGGGACGCAAGGACAGCCGCCCACGGATAGTGGCCAGGGACTCTAACAAGCTAGACATAACCCCAGCATCCGGGAGGCTGAAGCAGGAGGGTCAGCCTGGGTTCAAGGCCAGCCTGGACTACATAGCGAGACCTATCTCAAAAAAATAATAAATAAAATAAAATAAAATAGCAAAAGCTCAATACTATTTTCATGTCCTGATTGCATTTTGCCCTGTCCTAACTCATGATGTCTTACAACACTAAACATGGGCCTCTTCTAATTAAAAATTAAAATAGAATCAAATAAGGTATTTATATTAAATTTAAATTTGTTCAAAAAAGTCAAAATCAGTTAAAACCACCACATCTTACATGAGACTAAAAAGATGACTTGTGACTGGATGTGGTGGCACACACCTGAATCCCAGCACCAGGGAGGCTGAGGCAGGAGGACTGCTGCGAGTCTGAGGACAGCCTGAACTGGGTAGTGAAACCCTGTCTCAACAGGACAAAAAAATAAAATAAAATAAAGTAAAAATATGACTTGTAAGAGTCAAAAAAAAAAAAATATGACTTGTGAGCAACGACTAGGGCAGTGAAGGCAAGCCTTCCGGAACTTGCAGTTCTGCAAACAGCCCCTGCTGCACTAGGCGGCTCGGCTGGATCCGGAGCAATTTATAAAATAATTCTCCAGCAGAACACAAAACAAACAAAAAGAACATAGTGGCACAAATGAAAAGGTACTGAAGGAAGCATCAAAATTAAACTGGCTAAAAATGCTACAAATGAGGACAGATGAATGCTGAAAGCTTCGGTGGTACAAAACACCCCCTTACAGAGGAGAGCCGGCCGGTGGGGAGGGACAGCTGCGCCTGGCAAACTGGACCCTGGGCGGGCTGCTCCTCCGCCTGCTCGGCTCACACCACCCCAAGCTGGAAGGCAGGGGCTGCGGCCGGGCCGGCAGCTCAGCCAGTCACTCTCCCTGAGGGCCAGGACGCCACCATGTGGCCCTGGGGACCAACACCGAGATGCTGTGCCCGGGCTGCCTCCTGGTCCTCGCGGAGCTTCTACTCAGAGGCAGATTCTTGCTAATTCACCCAGGCAGGACTTGAACTCGCAACCCCTCAGCCTCAGCCTTCCTCGTACTGTGTCTTGTGTTTAGGCAGCCCCAGCAGGCACGTGACTCCCACTGGGGCAAGGGCGCCGGACGTGGGTTTTTATTGTTCTTCTGCGACTTCTTCTCATCTTCCGTTCCAGATTTAGAAACTGTACTGATTTGCTGTTATTAAAGTAAATCTCAGGCTCTCTGTCACCCGTAAACATTCCCATATGCATCTCTAAAGGATGCATTCTGTTAAAGTGTGATGTAAACTGTACATATGTGTTACATATAAAATTCTTACCTTGACTCTGCACGTAGATCTTACCCTTGGCATGCGGCTTTATAAAGGAGAGAAAGAGAATAGGTCAGTGTGACAGTGCATCTTCCGCTTCTTAGAAATGAAGCAAGGCATTAAAAATCCTGGTAGGAAACCAGTCTGGTAATGCCGCACTCTGCCCAGTGCAGGCTCAGCAGCCTCTAGGGCCCGGGGCGGCCTCTGCTCCAGCAGGCTTTGGCCCGAGAAGCACAGCTCCGCGAGGGGCTAAGCGTCCTGTGGCTGGTGCCTGAGTTAGTGTGGCAGCTGCTGGGCTCAGCAGGCCGGGGCCAGAGCCGTGGGGACACATGGGCTCAAGAGGAAAAGTGTCCCCCGTGTAGGACCAAAGATTCAGGGAGACCGGGGCGAGTCAGGAGCAGAAGAGGAGGAGGAAGAAGGGAAAAAAAGACAGGAAGAAGGAACCAGTGTCGAATGTGGTGGGAAACCAGAAGGGAGCCAAAGAGGGGCAGCTTCCTGCCTGCGGGAGGTCGGGCTGACCTCGGGACGGAGCCCAAGGGTGGCGGGGCCTGCAGGGAGAGGCGGCACTGCAGGGGCTGCCAGTGACCTGCCGCCTGCTGGTGTTTCCCGGGGAAACCACACACACACACACACACACACACACACACACACTCTACATGGACACCGGGGGTGACGGCGCACACCTGTGATCCCTGCCCAGGGGGGCTGTGGCAGGAGGGCCGCGCCAGCCTGGACAGCACAGCGAGAGCCTTTCTCAAGAAAGGCAAACTAGAAAAGCTACTAGAGAGGAAAGAAGCGTTTCTCCAACTCACTGCGAAATGCGGGAGAAATCTTCAAACTCAGAGTTAGACGCAAAGATAGAGGCAAGAGGAGGGTGAGTCAGCCACCCTGCAGTGACAGGGAGGGCCTGCAGGTGCCAAAGGCTGTCTCTTTTTGTTTTTGTTTTTATGTGTGTGAATCTGGTATTGTCTTTGATGTTTTGTTTGTTTGTTTTTGAGGGTCTTATTATGCATCCCGGGCTGACCTCAAACTCAAGACAATACTGCTTCAGTGTCCCCAGAGCTGGGATTACAGGAGCGCGCCCCACCTCTGGTGACTGGGTCTCTTAAATGACCAAAATATACTCATTTCCATGAAAATGTCCAAAACAAGCATTTTTGTGTCCCGTGACTCAGATATTCTAGACATACGCATGAACGGCTAAGTTAGCGAGCTGGTGGAGGTCACAGAAGTCTGAGCCCCACCATGGCAGCACGCGTGTGCATGTGCGTGCGTGTGTGTGGCGGCAGTGTGGCCCTGGCACTGCGTGGGGTGTGCTGGCCCGCGCTGGCCTTACCCCAAGCCAGGCTTACAGTCAGGGGTGAGTGGTGGGGGGAGGCTAAGGGCCACGCAGCCTCCCTGAGGGAGGGTCAGGTGGTCCTGGGGAGACGGAGACCAACGGTCCGCAGAGAGCGGCTACCAGAAGCCGGCACACACACGCGATGCTCGGTTGTTTTGGGATTGGCGCAGCATCCCATTTCATGTCTAATTTTGAACCAGAGGCTTTCAAAACTCCAGGTAGAGGCCCTAGAACTAGCAAGCCTTAGAAATGTTTCAAAAATCCTTTCCCTACCAGGCAAGCTCTAATGGGAAAGGAAAATGGCTAGGGCCACACCTCCCGGGCCCTCCTGCCTCTCAGAGCCGTTCTTCTCCTTGCCTCTTCTCCAATAGATTGTCCTACTCTTGAAGAAAGAAGAAAAGGACCAGCAGCAACATGGGAAATCTGGAGCTAAGGTTGAACATCCTCAAACATTCCAGCAGCTAAATTACGATTGCACTGAAAGCTGGGGAGGCCTCAGGGACGCGGGGCGCTTGAGCTCGGCTCCCCTGTGCTCCCTCCAGGCCCTGGCTGGGAAAGCCCAGCAGGAGGAGGCAAAGCTCTGAAGCAGACCATGGCCTGGCAGCCTCAAGGCAGCGCCAGGCTCTACAGCGATGGGTGGACTCGGTGAGCTCGCCTCTCGGAGGAGAGCCGGGAGTCTGTGGTCCCCTCACTGTCTACATCAGAAGTGCACCCCGCGGCTAGGCCCATGCAGACCTGAAAGGCTCCTTTCCAGGGCTCTGACCCTCCCGCCCACCAGACGCGTAACTGTGGCTCAGCCCAGCGGTGAGATGGAGCTCACCAGAGGTGGCGAGGGCTTGTCGGTCATGCTGCTCAATGCTTGTTACCTATTCTGCAGGCTTATTTCTCTAAATCCTACTGAAAACCAGAAAAGATGAGTGTGGCATCTGGCACAGACCCTGAAAACATATCTCTTAGGATAGTTAGCATCTTATCTGAGCAAGTCCCAGGATAGAGTCTCGGTCTGAAAGCAACATAGGCTGAGTCCTTTCCAAACATCAGGCTGAAAGGAATGAAGCCGAAGCCGCACGGCCCAGCATAGGGACTCCGAGAAGCGCAGGGCGCACCACAGCCATGCCAGCGCGGGCTCCCCTTCCCTGCAGCCTGTGCTGCCTCCCGCTCTGAGAGGTGCAACTGTGCCCAGGGCTAAGAAGCACTGTGCAGCAGAGGACAGGAGCAGCTGCTTTGGGGTGGGGGCGCGCTGGGTCTTGGGGTGCAGCCAGCTGCACCCAACAGTCCTGGGCGATGGGGATCACAGAGACACCACACAGTCCTGGCTACACAAGGTTCAGGGCCAGCTACCTCGCCAGGCTGGGGGTCGGCCATCTGCCCGGTGGGTCATCAGGCAGGCAAATGAAGACAAGGTCCCAGCACCCAAGGGAGCAGGAGGTGTGTGTGGCAGGACAGCCCCCTCCAGGCAGTGGCATAAATAACACGGATTAAAATGCATGGGATTCGTCTCTGCTTCTTTACAGTCCAGCTACCGGGAAGTGTAGTCGCACCTGCCGCCCACCTGCAGCATGGCTGTGTCCTGTTCCTACGAGACAGCTGTGGCCCTGAGTCTGCCTGCACTCACGAAAACCCAGCTTCGGAAAGCACAAGTGCCGGCCCGTGCTTTTAGTTACTGTTGCTTTCGAAATCACAAAATCAATGAGAAGCAAGTTCCACGAGCCTTTCTAATCTGGGATTACTGAAACTGAACCCCAGCTGATAATAATTAGGTAGAGGAGCTGAGCTGTGACCCCGGCTGAGCCCGCCCCCGGAGCCAGAGAACACAGAATTAAAGGCCAGAGCTCTGTAACGCAGGACCAGGCTTAACTGCTCGAAAACTGGATCCTTCTTCACAACACACAAATAAAAATAGTCTCTCAATGCAAATCTATCTGAAATAATCCTATGAATGTAGGGGAATAGTACATTTTTATATGTATGTCTATTTATAAAAAATAATCAAGACTATTGAGCTGAACTTTGAGAAAATCATACACACCAGCAAAGTACAAGCAGGTAGTGAGCCCCCCACGAGAACTGTGGGCATCAGAACTGTAACCATGAACTAATAAAAAAATAAAAATTTTAAAGGCTGGGACGTGGCTCGGCAGCATAAGCACCTGCCTGGCAAGTGCAAGGTCTTGAGTTCAATCTGTCTGAGTTCAATGAGAACCAAACTGTCTCATTGCTATTTGTTTCTCAATAAAACTTAAAAAACAAAAATTCTGGAAGATTTACAATAATGGGCACATTTTAAAAGATTACTTAAAATTCTTTTAATTTCTAATAAGGTCAATTGCTTGTTTTATGGTCCTAAATTAAAATTTGTATGAAAATACTTTGATATTTAACAAACAAATGCAGAGGCTTGGAGTACAGATATCAAGTCTGCATCTTGTCCTCTGAATAGCTACTATGAAGGCAACAGTATGCAATGTATTAATTATTGTAACTGTCCTACTAACCTGTTTTGAAACTTTCTCTTTGCTATTTTTTTCATTAAAATGAATAAAAAATAAAAGCAAAAAATTAAATTAAATTAACTAAAAATAAAAAAAATTAAAAATTAAAAAGGTCTTGTCCTAAAAGAGCAGTCTAACAATTTTTAAAGCACAAAAGAATAAATGTTTAGGACTAAAGAGATAGCCCAGTGGCATAAATCTCTGACTGGCAAGACTAAGGTCCAGAGTTTAATCCCCAATACCAAAAAAATTCAGAACATTAATCCCCCACAAAAAAGAATGCCTAAAATGACACAAAGCAACTTCGAATGCAACTTTAACACGCAGCCCGCCACTTTCAGCTATGAAGCTGAGTGATCATGTTCACAATGGGACTGCAACTCCTCGTGGCCAGGGGCGTGGACATATGTGTGGCCGTCCCACATGTGGCTGACGTCACCCACCACTGCTGGTGCGAGCCACATGATAGGACAGTCGTGCATGCACCATGGAGGTCCAGGCTGGGGGGGAGCAGGCCACCCCTTCGTCCACGAGCCTTCCGACAGTGCCTCTCCCACCTTAATCCAAACTGAGCTATTTGTGCTGCCTTCCCCGTGGCTTTCCAGTACTCTGTGACCAGAGGGGGAGGATCTTCTGAGGACAGACAGACATGCCTGTGACCGGCCACTGTTTGGGACATGTCAGCCACGGGGTCCCCGCACATCTGCAATGGCACCTTTCTGTTGAGAAGGCAGTGTGAGGGCTGCTCTCTAAAGCCCCCATTTTTGCTTGAAATCTCCAAATCGTCATCGGCAGCAACCATTGCCAGTCGTTGTTCTTTAGGCATCTGGCAAAAGTCGGGCAGCCTGGTCTGTGCCCAGGGCCTCCCCAGGTGTCTGTGGCAGGGGCAGGTGGGCGGGGACTGTCCGCGGACCCCACATGCTGCTGCATGTAGCTCTGTCCGGCACCTGAACAGCAGCAGGCTTGCACCTGCCTTGCCCCACGAAGGGCATCATAGTGGCACCAGTGTGAGCGCCCGGGGACGCTGGCACCGCCAGCACTGTCCCACAGGGACAAGCCTTGGCAGGGGTCTATCTCATCACCGCCTTTCCCATGGGCAAGAAGCAAGTGTACTAATTTCCTAGGAAAAGTAAGGGGTGTGAGAGGGTCCCCAGTGCCTACAGACCCATCTGGGGACCACAGATTGAGGTGACCCCACCCAGAAGCCGGAGGGAG